CGCATTGTGCCACTGCGTAGCATTGCGCATTGCGACGCAGTGCCCTTGCTCTCAATGGGCGCGCGCGCGCGATGCGCGAATCATTGGTGCGTTGCCAGCTTAGGCTGGGCAACTGAATGGTGACTGCCAATTGTTTCATTCGTTCTGCTGGCCTCGACATGCCATTTCACATCGCGGCGCTAAACGCGCTACTGCTCGCGCATACCCGCGCGCCCATGGCGGCGGCCGATAGGGGCTGGTCGAGACAACGTTGCACATTGAACGGTTGACGACATGCGTTTTACCCGTATTCTTTATGCCCCACATGAGATGCAACATTGTGACACCAATCGTCTGCATCATCGCTTGATTGCGCGCGCGAGCGCGCGATCTCGCGTTCGCGGCGCAAGAGAGCAGCGAATAATGTTGATCTTGAGAGCGAAGGTTGGATCGTGAAAACCCGCCGCTCCACCCGGATGTCGACGGGTTCGATGTGACGCGACGCATTGCGTCGCGATGCGCAGCCCTGGCTGGGCGCGCGCGGGCGCGCCCGCGCGCGGTGCCAGCCGCGCCCGAGCAAGGGTTTTTAAATATCCATCACTGAATGGCGAACGAAGGTTTCGGATTTCCAGTGCCTCGACATGAAGTAACGCACCGTGTCCCGATGCGTTTGCTTTATCATTGCCTGGGCGCGCGCGTGCGCGCGCAATGCAGGAGTTGACAAGGACTGGCCCATGCAGCTTCGAAGGCCTAGTTGCGATCGCCATTAGTCCCACGCGCGTTGCGAGGGGCCTGGGCGCCACGCCTGCAGCGCGACGCCGAGCGCCCCCCTCGTTGCTCGCGCGCGTGCACGCGCGTGCACGCGCGAGCCATGTTGAAGGCGAACCGCGACCCAGCGCGTAATTTCATGTTTAGGCCCAGGGAGCTCGAGCGGGCCAATCGGTCTGCGTCGCGTTGTTTGCCCAGCTAATTCGGCCAATCACGATTGCCGCGTGCATTGTCGACGCGGGAGTCCGCGCGCGCGATCATAAGCGCGCGTCGCGTCGCATGGCATCGTGTCGCGTTGGAGCCCAGGGCGCGAGTGCACCAATCTGAAGTTTGCCATTGCCTGGCGTTTCTCTGCGCGGCGCGCGCGATGGCGCTCGCGCCCTGTGAAAGTCGCCAGGTCGGATCGCGCCCGGGAGCTGGGCCGGGCCCCCCCGGAGCAGGGAATGGGGGGCCTGCGCGCCGCGAGTGCCTCCGGTGCGTCCGTCTTGGCCCAATGGCCGCGCGCTCAGCCTGCCCGTCGTGGGCGGGCCCTGCCGAAACCCAACGGAAACGCAGGAGGGCGCCCGTGTCCGGGCATCGCTGCAGCCCCGCACGGCCGCGATCTGCCGGCGGGGCATGACGTCGATCGGATCGGGCGTCTCAGCCCTGGCCCCGGCCGCAGGCGGGCTCGCGATTGACTTGGCGCAGGTGACGGCGATGCACAGCTCTTTGATCGACCAGGGAGGCATGCTGACACCGTTGCCGGCCCTCTCCTGGGGCACGCGTTGAAGGGGATTTCGGGGCTGTCCCAGCCGTGGCGACGAGGGAAAGACAGCGGCGTCGGCGCCCATTGCATTTCTAATGCCTCATGCGGAACGCAGGCTGCTCCACTTCAGCACCTCGCTCGTTGAGTGGCCCTCATCTTTCTCGGGGGCTCGGCCTTCGAGAGCCACGGGCCATTGTCTGATCGAGTCAGTCGGCGAGATGTTTGACGCCCCGAGAGTTTCCTCAACGTGGCTCGAGCGGGCTGCGAGCGCGCTTCGCAGCCACATCATGTCCCCAATCTTTTCACAGTGCTTGAAATGCAGGCCCGCGGCGCCAACCACCCCGATAATCTCGAACGCCGCGAGGGTCTTCCAAGGGGCTCGCAACGACGGCGCTCGCGAGGGCCAGCGCCTGGCGCGACATCCTCACGGCGGGCCTGGGGGCTGGGATGATTCGAGAGCCTGCGTGTCCGAGCGCGCCTGCGATCATTCCCGCTGGAACCGAGGCGGCGCCGGGAGCGCATCAGGGTTGGCCCAGAGAGATTCGGCGCATTCCAACAAAGCATGGGCACCCCCGAAGATGCCAGTGGGAAGCCTGAGGGGCCCCCGAGGATCGCGGAGGATGTCTGAAGGTTCCGGGGAATTCTTTCTTGAGGCCCCCATCTGGTTCTGGAGTTGTCGAAACTCTAACGAGATTTGCCAACATGCCGAACGCTAACCCTTTGGCTCGATGTTCTGGAGCTCTTCATGAGCGGCAGACGGTTTCAGAAATCTGGCGGGGAGAGCGGGGTCAGGATTCCTGGGTGCGCCAGAAGGTTGTTCCTGTATCCTAGGCTCCCGTCGCGATCTCCTCCTGTAGAATTAGGACGACTCGCGTCAGCAATCTTCAAGAAACCGAAAGATCTGTCGGGGGAATGTCCTGGATCTTTCCAGGATGCGTCGCGAATCCATCAGGGCCCTGCTGCGAATCCTTCAGGAATCCCGAGAATCTTCGGGAACTGTCGGGAGTCCGCGCGGATCTTTGAGGGTTCCTGTAAAAATAGGTTGGGGATCCTTCTGACATCTTCAGGGGTCTTCCCAGATCCCCAACAATCCTTCAGGAGTCCTGGAAAGCCCCATTAGAATCCCGTTGGAGTCCTATCGTGATGCAGCGACGGCGGGAGAAATCAATTGAACAGGAGCCGCCCTCCTTCTGCGATGCCGTTGCAAGATTTTGCGACGAATGTGCACGGCGTTGAAGCAGGAGCTAGTTTTCTACGAGGGCCTGGCCTCCAGCCGCGAAGCTGCCGCAGCATCTGAAGACGGCTGCGCGCGTCGCTGGGGTGAGAGCCACACGTTGAAGACCGCCCGCATCCCATTAGTGGGGCTTTTTTCCAAGCTGTAGCACCGAACGCGCGCGGCTTCATGGCCAGAGCAGCCGTTTAGAAGTCATCATCCGTCCATCCCTTAAGCCGTTGCAAATTCGTTTTCCACGAATTCGCATAGCAAAAAGGCGACAACGACATTTTGACATTGGCCCGCTCTTTATCCGAGAAGCTTTTGCAAACGTTGAAAGCGAGTGTGCGCATCATCCCTGCGAGAGCGGCATTATGAAACAAAGCCCCCCCCTCGATCCGCGAAGCTGTTGCACACTTGCAAGACGAATGTGCGCGGCGCCTTGGCGTGACACATTTTGAAAGGTGCCCGCCCACCATCCGCGAAGTTGCCAGCTCCTAAATCGTGCGTGCGCAGCGCTACGCGAGAGCTGCATTTTGAAAACCACCCGCCTTCCATTCGCGAAGCTATTCGAAGTCGGCTGGGCAAACGTGCACGGCGCTTATACGAGAACCACACTGGGAGAGGGGGCCGCCTTCCATCCGCGAACCTTGCGCACACTTTTTAAACGCGGGTGCTCGGCGCGAGGGGCACGTTGAGAACGGCCCGCCCTCCATCCGCGAAACGGCTACAAACGTTCGGGGCGCATGCGCGCAACGTCGAAGGGGGGGGAGGGCGCACTGTGAGCAACGAGCCGCCGCAAACGTTGCCAGCTGCACGTGCGCGGCGCTGGCGCGAGAGTGGTTCTGGGCAGGGCCCGCCGCCCGTCCCGCGAGAGTGCTGCAGAGTTCCCGGGAAAACGCCGCGCGGCGCCGGGGCGAGAGGGCCCCTTTTTGAAAGGGCCCGCCCTCCATCCGCGAGGCTGCGGCAAGCGTTTAGGGCGCGCGCGGCCCTATGGCACGAGGCACGCTTGGACAAAAAAAGGGCCCGCCCTCCACCCGCGAAGCTGCGGCAAACTCTGACAGGAGTGCGCCGCGGCGCCAGGGGCGAGAGGCCGCATCCTGGAGGCCGCCCGCCCTGGATCCTCGAGGCCCCTCGTGGACTTTGTAGGGCGAGCGTGCGCGGCGCTGCGGCGAGAGGCACACGTCGGAAAGGCCCCGTCGTCCACCCGTGAGGCGGCTGCCGACTCTGAAGGCGAGTGTGCGCGGCGCCATGGCGCGATGCTCCTTGTGAAAACAAGACACGGCATTGAGTTGTGAAGTTGATGCGAAGTGCAGGAGGAACGTGAGCGGCGTTCAAGCGAGAGCCGGCTTTGGAAAGCAGCCGCCCTCCATCTTTGAACGCCCTCGATCAGTGAAGCTGGTCGCATCGTGTAAGACGAACGTGCGCGTCGCTATCGCGAGAGGGGCATTCTGAAAATGACCCGCCCTCCATCCATGATGATTTGCGATTTTTCTGACGAATGTGCGCGGCGGTACGACCATGCTTACATGTTGGAAACGGTACGCCCTCCATCCGTGAGGCCCTTGCGTTTTTTTAAGGAATGTTCGCTGCGCTGGGGCATTCTTAATATCTCCCGCCCGCCACCCGCGAACTTGTTGTAATTATACTGAAAGAGTGTACGCGGATTGCTAGGGCGACAGTCGCATTTTTTTTTTTGTTTTAAGGACCCGCCCTTTTTCCGCGGAGCTGTTGAAAGCATGTAAACCGAACGTGCGCGGCGGAAATGCGATAGTTACAAGCTTAATGGATACGCCCTCTATCTGTGAATTGCTGCAAATTTGTGAGACGAATTCGCGCGGCGGCAAAGCCAGATATACATTTTGCAATTCACCCGCCCTCCATCAGTGGAACTGTTGCAGACTGTTCAAAAGGAATCTGCGTGGCGCTAAGGCGGGCCCGCATTCTGAAAACTACCCGCCTTCCATCTATGAAGCTGTTGCAGAATTTTAAAACGAACGTGCGCGGCGCTAGGGCAAGAGGCACATCTTGAAATTCGGGGACCTGGGATATTATTTCCAGGGGCGGCATGGATATAATTCCTCCGGAAGGGGGTGGGCGATTATTGTTTACTGCGGTTGTGCTCGATCCTCGAACCGCGATCGCCGACTTTGATCCGCCTGAAATCAGGGTCGGACCCCTCCCAGCTTCCATCTTGGCCAGCCTTCGAGCGCCGTACCCAGCCGCGGCGACGATGACCCCCATGCCAACAGAATAACATTAAAACGAAGGCGTCGTCCTCGTCGGCGTTACCAGGTTTAGCGACCTTGCGCCAGCAGCGCCACCGCCGGCGCCGGCGCCTGCGCCGGTGCCAGCGAAGCCCTCGCCGGCGCCCGCACGGGCGCCCGCCGCTGCTCCTGCCGCCTCGGTGGCGGCCTCGGCAGCGGCGGGGCCGCTGCTGAAGCGCAAGCGGTGAGCAGCAGCGCCAGCGGCACCGCCAGGGCCGGCATCGTCGCCTGCACGGGCGCCCGCTCACGGGCATTCAACGTAATGGGGCTGGAAGTCGGATCTGCAAGCGATGCGGTTTGGGGCAACGTCGGAGGAGGGGTAGTCTCAGTGGGGGATGCGTTGACCCCCAATCGTCCAGGCATCGCCCGTAGGAGCCCAATTGCCCACCACACCGAGGAATGTGCGGTTTGATGGGTTCTCGCCGATGCATCGGCGACCTCATATTGTATGTCGATGTTCCCCCTGAGCTGCCCCACCCTAACACCAACACTGCACTGCCCATCAGATGGACACTTATTGATGTAATAGGGCTTGAATTGGTGTGGGGCTGTAGCAACAGGCGCTTGCGCATTTTAGCGTTTAGTCACGAAAGTTTGCTTAGCGTTTCGCGCTGCCAGTTCTGCCGCACGACGCTTCGGTGCGACACGCTAACTTCGTCCCCATTTCTGAGAGTCAACGTCCCGTGCCTTTTCGAGCCTCCCGAGGAGCGGAGCGGCACGCTGTCAGCTCGCAGGGCATTGCGTGCCGCCGAGGCCGCCGCCTCGACACGCCTAAGCCGCCAAGCAAGAGTTCCTGACCGTAACCGTTTCTCCAGCGAGGCTTTCGGATTCTTCATTGTGGGGGCATGGCTGATAGTACATGGCCGAACGAAAGGGGAGGATTCGGAAAGGGAGGTTACGAAATCTGCTGCATGCAGCTGGTTTCGGCCTCGCCGAGAGGCCCATTCCTCGATACATATCCGCCTCCGGCGCTGGGAGGCGCCAGGAAAATCAGCTACGTGAGCTGATTCTCAAACCTCCTTTTGCTATCCCCCCCTTTCGCCCGACCCGAGTGTGCGACACACTGCTGAATGAATTCAGCCCCTCTTCCCTGTTCTGGCGCACGCAACGTAGGCCACTATCGCACCGGTTGGCCTCACGATAGTATTGGCAAGATATTGCAGGATACGATCTTGCAGGATACCTGCGAAGTGAAGGGGAAGTGGGGGATTCCCGTCTTCCCCCAATCCTCCGAAGACCGAAAGTATGGTTAAGGCATTACGTCCAGTGGCGCCGACCCTGAAGGACGACGACGACGAACTGGGGGTCATGTCCGGGCTCGGGACATGGGGCTGGGGGAGAGGGAGAAGGAGGAGGAGGCGGAGGAGGATGCAGGAGGAGGGGGGCGAAGGAGGAGGAGGAGGAGTAGGAGGAGGAAGAGGAATTGGAGGCTCTCTTTGGCTGTCTTTGGAGCCTCTCGGGGTACTGTGGTCCGTTTAGGGTCGTCTCTGAGCCCCAGGACCTTTCGGGGGGGAGATGGTATTCTGACCCGCCCCCCCCACCCCCAGGACTCTCCCCGTGACCCCCCCCAGGAATGACCCCTCCCAGGAATCCACCCCCCTGGCCCCCCGCCCCTCTCGGGAGGGGGGAGGAATCGCATGGAAAGGGCTTCCCTTCGATTCAACTGCGACTTTCGCTTTAGTTTCGTGTTGGCTGGCTCGCTTGAGGGTGAGGACCCAGTGAAAGACGGGGGGGCGGCGATGGGCCAAGAGAAAGGGGGTCAAACGCGACGGCGACGGCGACGACGACAACAGGGACGACGACGACGACGAGACAAACAGAACAGCGTCTTGAGGATGAGGAGATTGAGGAGGAGGCCATCTCGGCCGTCTTTGGGGCATCTTGGAGCACTCTGGGTCCGTTTAGGGCGTTTGTGAGCCCGAGGACCCCTGGGGGGGATAGTGCATTCTGACCTAGGACCGCTCCCCTGGGACGCCCCCCAGGACGGAGGAGGCCCACTCGTCCGTCTTTGGGGCATCTTGGAGCACTCTGGGTCCGTTTGGGGTCGTCCCCAGGACCCCCCCAGGACCCCTCTCAGAGCCGACCCCTCCCAGGCTTCCCCCCCTGCCCCCCCGACCCCCTTCGGGGGGGGGAGGGATCCAAGGAAAGGGGCGCCCCTTTGACTCAATTTCGATGTTGCTCAATTTCGCGTCGGTTTCGCGTCAACGACGACGACGACGAACACGACGACGACGACGACGACGACGACGACGACGACGACGACGACGACGACGACGACGACGACGACGACGAGTCAAACAGAACAGCGTCTTGAGGATGAGGAGATTGAGGAGGAGGCCCTCTCGGCCGTCTTTGGGGCATCTTGGGGCACTCTGGGTCCGTTTTGGGGCGTTTGTGAGCCCCGGGACCCCTGGGGGGGATAGTATATTCTAACCTAGGACCGCCCCCCCGGGACGCCCCCCAGGACCCCCCCAGGACCCCTTCCAGGACGGACCCCTCCCAGGACTCCCCCACCTGCCTTCCCTCGCCCCCTCGGAGGGGTGAAGGGAACAAAGGAAAGGGGCGTCCCTTCGACTCAATTTCGACGTTGCTCAATTTCGCGTTGGTTTCGCGTCAACGACGACGAACACGAACACGACGACGACGACGACGACGACGACGACGACGACGACGAGTCAAACAGAACAGCATCTTGAGGATGAGGAGATTGAGGAGGAGGCCCTCTCGGCCGTCTTTGGGGCATCTTGGGGCACTCTGGGTCCGTTTTGGGGCGTTTGTGAGCCCCGGGACCCCTGGGGGGGATAGTATATTCTAACCTAGGACCGCCCCCCCGGGACGCCCCCCAGGACCCCCCCAGGACCCCTTCCAGGACGGACCCCTCCCAGGACTCCCCCACCTGCCTTCCCTCGCCCCCTCGGAGGGGTGAAGGGAACAAAGGAAAGGGGCGTCCCTTCGACTCAATTTCGACGTTGCTCAATTTCGCGTTGGTTTCGCGTCAACGACGACGAACACGAACACGACGACGACGACGACGAGTCAAACAGAACAGCGTCTTGAAGATGAGGAGTTTGAGGAGGAGGCCCACTCGGCCGTCTTTGGGGCATCTTGGAGCACTCTGGGTCCGTTTTGGGGCGTTTGTGAGCCCCGGGACCCCTGGGGGGGATAGTGCATTCGGACCCAGGACCGCCCCCCCCTGGGCTGCCCCCCCGGGCTGCCCCTCAGGACCACCCCGGGACCCCTCCCAGGACCGGGGGGGATAGTATGTTCGGACCCAGGACCGCCCCCCCCTGGGCTGCCCCCCCCGGCTGCCCCTCAGGACCACCCCGGGACCCCTCCCAGGACCGACCCCTCCCAGGAACCCCCCACCTGCCCCCCCTCGCTCTCTCGGGGGGGGGGGGAGGGATCCAAGGAAAGGGGCGTCCCTTCGACTCAATTTCGACGTTGCTCAATTTCGCGTTGGTTTCGCGTCAACGACGACGATGACGACGACGACGACGACGACGACGACGACGACGACGACGACGACGACGACGACGAGTCAAACAGAGTCAAACAGAACAGCGTCTTGAGGATGAGGAGATTGAGGAGGAGGCCCTCTCGGCCGTCTTTGGGGCATCTTGGAGCATTCTTGGTCCGTTTTGAGGCGTTTGTGAGCCCCACTGCCCCAGGATCCTCCTGACCCCTCCAGGGATCCCTTCACCCCCCTCGGGGGGGGGAAGGGATCAAAGGAAAGGGGCGTCCCTTCGACTCAATTTCGACGTTGCTCAATTTCGCCTTGCGAGAGGGATCAAAGGAAAGGGGCGTCCCTTCGACTCAATTTCGACGTTGCTCAATTTCGCGTTGGTCTCGCGCCAAACACGACGATGACGACGACGACGACGACGACGACGACGACGACGACGACGACGACGACGACGACGACAACGAGTCAAACGGAACCGCGTCCTGAGGATGAGGAGATTGAGGAGAAGGCCCTCTCGGCCGTCTTTGGGGCATCTTGGAAGACTCTTGGAGCACTCTGGGTCCGTTTTGGGGCGTTTGTGAGCCCCGGGACCCCTGGGGGGGACAGTAAATTCTGACCTAGGACCGCCCCCCAGGACGCCCTCCAGGACACCCCTGGGACCCATCCCCCCATGCCCCCCCTCGCCCCATCAGGGGGGGAAGGGATCAAGGAAAGGGGCGTCCCTTCGACTCAATTTCGCGTTGGTTTCGCGTCAACGATGACGACGTCGAGTCAAACAGAATAGCGTCATCCTCACGCCGACAGGGTCTGCGGATTTGCTATTCCCAAGTCGTTTACCGCTTCCGAAGGGTAGTCATTGCCCACCATCGTCGCGGAGCAGGTTTCCTCGGAGGGTGTTTGCCAGCTGGTCAACTGGGGGCGCTGTCCACCTGCACGACTGGAGGTGGACCAGCGCGCATGGGACAGCTACGGTCGGGAGCTTTGCCTGAGCCTGTCGCGCCCCCAATGCTGGTCGGGGGGGGGGGGTGCGGCGCGACACGCTAACGACATCCCAATTCAGTTCCCAACTTTTCCCAGGCTTTCGCCCCGCGGAGCGGGGCGACACGCTATCCGCTTGCAGGGCATTGCGTGCTGGGCTGCCGCCGCGACACGCTAAGCAGAAGTCCCGGGCCCCGACCGTAAGCCATGTCAGGCAGGTAATTGCTGCGCGAGGCGGCTTGAGGTCGGCCCAAGACAGCTAAGTCGCGCGTGATGCCGCTTGCCGCCGCCTGAGAAACTTCCATGTTGCACAGGGAAGGATAAGGGACCCCTGATTTGACCTCTTGCTTCAGTTCTGGCACGGCGCTGCAGGAAGCGCCGCCAGGAAGACCAGGAAGACCTTTGATAAGCATCGCTCACTCACCGCCGAAGACGCCCGAGTCTCGCCAGGAGCCAAGGCTGCGGTAAACGGTGCGGCTGCCTCCCGCTACAGCCCCCCTCGTCGCTGCGAGCCCTGCGGCTCCAGGTGCCCGCTGGCCCGCTGGCCCCGGGGCGCGCCGGCGGCAGGGCCGCTCGGGAAGGGGCAAGCGCTGAGGCCACCTGGTCGCGGCCCGTCTCTCGTCCTTCCTGGGCCTCCGGCACCGCGCCCGTGGTTCGAGGCCGAGCTTCTGCCTGCCATGTGCGGGGCCCCTATCGAGGCGCCGAGAGGCTTGCCTCTCCTGGCGCCACGGTGGCGCCACGGCTGGACCAGCCTGGAGGTTCTGGCCAGAAAGCACCCCAGGAGAGACCCGGGGGGTCGATTTCGAGGACGGTGGTGTAGGCCTCCGAAAAGCGTCGTGATTGCTTTGATGCCGGCGTTATTCTCCAATCGTGCTTGCACTGAAGGGTTCGTCGTGGTGATTGGAAGAGTTAGCCAGTGTATCCTGCCGCATTCGGTGGGCGGCTCGATTCCCCGGTTCCTGGTTCTGGGTCTTGGTTCCCCAATACTTCCCGAATCAGTCCTTCCACTGTAACAGTCCTCGCGGATGTTGACAGATTTGGTGGAAGCGCTTCGCCGATTTCGGTGGGTGGACGAGTTCTCGGGGGCGGCTAGAGAGCACAGGGTGAAGAGTGGATAGTTGAGCGTGGAGAGTTGAAAGTGGGGTGAAGTAAGTGGTCTGCTCTGAGAGCCTTCTTGGGGGCATATGGTCTATGGAGAACATTTGTGTGACAGGTTACTGAGCCGTTTTTCCCTACCTAGGCTCTGCCTAGAAGGGTTCTTACTCTCTTAGCTTAAAGGGGCCGGGCAATGGAAAGCGCCCTGGGCGGTTCCCCCGGTCCCCGCCCCGCGGTTCCCCCAGTCCCCTGGGAGCTTTAGCTTTAGCTTTAGCTTAGCTTTAGCTTAGCTTTAGCTGAGCTTTAGCTTAGCTTTAGCTTAGCTTTAGCTTAGCTTTAGCTTAGCTTTAGCTTAACTTTAGCTTAGCTTTCGCTAAGCTTTCGCTAAGCTTTAGCTAAGCTTTAGCTTAGCTTTAACTTAACTTTAGCTTAGATGTCGCTAAACTTTCGCTAAGCTTTAGCTAAGCTTTAGCTTAGCTTTAGCTTAGATTTAGCTTAGCTTTAGCTTAGCTTCAGCTTAGCTTTAGCTTTAGCTTAGCTTTAGCTTAGCTGTAGTTCAAGTTTAGCTTAACTTTAGGTTAGCTGTAGCTTAGCTCTAGCTTAGCTCTAGCTTAGCTCTAGCTTAGCTTTAGCTTAACTTTAGCTTAGCTTTAGCTTAGCTTGAGCTTAGCTTTAGCTTAGCTCTAGCTTAGCTCTAGCTTAGCTTTAGCTTTGCTTTAGGTAAGCTTTAGCTAAGCTTTAGCTTAGCTTTAGCTTAGCTTTAGCTTAGCTTTAGCTTAGCTTTACTCTTACTACTAATGCTGCTTCCCTAGGGGCTCCAACTCCTAGGTAGGGTCGCACTGGGATAATTGAATCCTATTCGGCGCTCCTCCATGCCCAAGCGGCCCAAAGAGGCATCCAAGAGGGCCCCGAGTGGGGTCCAAAACGGCCCAACCACCTGTCACGGACAAGGCACTTGTCTGTTACAGGTTTGTTTGGCCGCCTTGAAGCCCACTTGGAGCCCTTCAAAAGCCCTCCTGCAGCCGAAATAAGGCTCTAAGAAGCCCCATGGAGGGGCCCACCACGACCCAACAACCCACGGCGAAGGCCTGTGTACTTGACAGGTTGCTGGGCCCTCTTGGAACCTTCTTGAGGCCCTCCTGAGGCTATCCTGCATCTTCAATGATTCCAATGAGCCCAAGAACCTATCGCACACAAGAGGGCACCGCATGCCTCACCCAATTATCATACCAGCCACTGTTCTTGCTATCTTTCATGCTTCTCCCGGACAGCCGGTTGAGTCTGTCTTCGGTCTGATGCCGGAGGTTGGGAGGTGAGACCGGAGGAAGAGGAAGTCGCCCAACTTAGAATCAGTTTCGGTATCGGCTCGTGTCGCATGCGAAGCAGCGTGAATTCCTGCACCAGCTAGGCCCCGCCCGCCTGGGCGTGTTTGGGAGTGTCATGCGAAAACCAATTGTCCTGATGTGTTACCCTGTTGGTTGTCCCGATGGTTGTCCCGACTGGGGTCCCCAACGTTTCCCCGTAGTTGTCCTTCTGGTTGTCCCGATGGTTGTCCGTGTGGTTGTCCCGATGGTTTTCCCAATGGTTGATCCGATGGTTGTCCCGAGTGTTGTCCCAATGTTCGGTCCAATGGTTGTCTCCAGTCTCCATTGGTGTCCCGATGAGTGTTCTGATGAGCGTCCCGATCGATGGTTGTCCTGATCGTTGTCCCAATAGGTGTCCCGATGGTTGTCCGGATGGTTCGATGGTTGTCGGGATGTCTCGAGGTTGTCCCGAGGCTGACCTCATGCTGTCCTGTGACTGTCGCTTGGATGTCCTGATGGTTGTTCGGTGATTGTCCCGTTGGTTCTTCGTGGCAGTCCCGTCGTTGTCCGCCATGGTTGTCCCGTGGTTGCCTCGTGGTTATTCAGTAGTTTTCCCTATTCTTGTCCTGTGGTTGTCCCTTGGTTGTCCCGTGATTGTCCCATGACCGATATGTGGTTGTCTTGTCGTTGTGGTTTTCCCGTGGTGTTCCCTGGTTGTGAGCCGCTACATGTTGAGACAAATTGTCAGTGCGACCAGTACTTTGTTAGTAAAATCGGTTATCATATTGAAGTGGCGATCGTTCATGTTGTATACACATTCGTATCAATAATTCGTGTGAGTGGTATCTTGTCTGCTCGATATTTTGATAATGAGATCGGTAGTTCGTAGGATCGATGGATCGTGGGACCGACTTGTAGACCGTGAGATCGACACACAGCGATAATGGTCGATCGATCAATTGCGACTCTGATCCTTCGCCAATCGAAACCAAACATGGCACCCATACCCCCAGCTTCCTGTGAAGGGTGGTCCTATAGGTAGTGCCAGTTGCGTTTCTGGCGACGCTTGTTTTGGGCACCGCATCCGTCTAATCCTCCCTCTTCGTTTCTCCCCAGCCTCATCTTGAACTCTTTTCCTGACTGCCATCATGTACCCCGTCCGTGTACACAGCCTGCTCTACCTCATCCTCGGCCTCCTTCATCACATCCGCCTCCTCTACCTTCTGCTCCTCCTCGTCGTCCTCCTACGCAGATACACCACCACCGTCAGTTTCCACCCTGCTCCTTGCCCCCCTCCTCCTATGCCTTATCGTCCTACTCTCGCCACCTGCAGTGCCCGCAAGATGCAGCCGCAGGCCCTTCGATAATTACAGGGCGGGCAGCGGTGTCGGTAGAAAAGGGCCGCTCCTGGAGGGACGGTGAGAGGTGGACGAGGACGCGGGAGAAGGGAGGGTGGGGCGTATGAGGAGGGAGAGGACACAGAAGACAAGGGTAGGGAGGATGGATGAGATAAGATTGGGAGAAGGAGTCGGAGCAGTAGGTACATTACAATGAGGACCAGGACCAGGAGGATGTATAGAATTATGAATCAGACCCACACGAGCAGGAATGGCTGGAAACGCCGCATGAGGTTGGGCGACGAGTTGGAGGAGCAATAACATGTAGAGTATGTAGAGGATGCGGTGGACACTGGCAGACTGCACAGCCGTTCGAGTGGCAGGTCCTCGTGTTCTGGATTATCGTAATGGGGCAGGCCGACGGGGAGGATACAGGTCTTTGTGTACATGTATATATATGTAGATATGTACACATCGATGCAGTCAACTATACACCATGCATGCACACACGCAGAGCGAGAGCGAGGCAGAAATAGCAACATCCAGAGCGAGCAACGCACATTTACATACACCACACACCTATATATACACACAAAGGGGGAGATATTGAGATAGAGGGGGAAGGAGAGAGAGAGAGAGAGACAGAGACAGAGACAGAGACATAGACAGAGGCAGAGACAGAGAGAGAGAGAGAGAAAGAGAAATATGTGAAAGACAATGGACGCGTGGAAAAGATATATATATATATATATAGAGAGAGAGAGAGAGGAGCGGGACAAAGAAGAGTCGAAGGATGAGGGGGAAGAGGAGCCGGGCACGCAGCACTGCCAGATGAGCAGAGGCGAGTGACGACCGTCCTCTGGCGGCGAGCCGCCTCTGGGGAAGGCGAGGGGGGCGGCAAACTCAGAGAGCAGCGTACATTTGAGAAGGGCTCCGGGGGCTTCCAAGAAGCAAATTCTGAGTGCAGGGAGGGCTTCTGGGACCCTCCTTGCTGTTTCAGAAGGCCGCCCCCCTTCGCCTCCCCCCCCTCCTCCCGCCCCACCCCACCTCCCTGGGTCGCGCCGCCAAGTCTCCAGGCGCCACCGTCGGAGGAAGGAGGAGCGATTCCACCACCACCAGGAGAGCACCTCCAGTGAGGAGGACTACGATCCCGATGCCTCCCCGAGCTGGGTAGGGGGGGATGCCTCGAGTGAGGGACATGGGGGGCCACGCAACCAGGGGGACACCCCCTGGATCCTCGCGCTGGTGGTGGTGGTGGTGCCGCCCTTCCCCTGTTACTGGCCCCCTTGCTCGCGCCGCCCAGTCTCCAGGCTCCGCCGCTCCTCTCCGCCGCGCTTCTCCCGGGGCTCTCCCAGCTGGCGCGCCCTGCCCCGCCACAGCCGCGCCCTCCGTGCCCCGAAGGGGGGCGGAGGCAGACGGCCGCATGATGGCAGAGGCCTGTAGCCGCTTATTGGGGGGGGGGGAGCAAGGCTCAAGGACAACGTTGGGTCAGGATAGGCTTAGGGGCTTGGCTTCGGCCTGACGGTTGCATATTTCCTCGGCGAGGGCCATCGAGGGGCATCCTGGATCATCTTGCGGAACAGAAGGCCAGCACGAAACCGACAAATGCACAAGGACTGGATGTCCGAGCGATGGCAAGGATGGCGGTGCATCGACCCCCGATCGCCCAGTGATCGCCGATAGGGGCCCGATGGCCCATCTCGGCGTTGCATCGCCGATCCAGGTCGATCCTTGCCCCCCTCAGCCATTCCGACCCCATCGTGCCCCCTCAGGGGAGGAGGAAGATGATGATGATGATGATGAGGAGGAGGAGGAGGAGGAGGAGGAGGAGGAGGCGAAGGAGGAGGAGGAGGAAGAAGAAGAGGACCACGACGTCGACGAGGAGGACGACGAGGATGAGGATGGGGGGGAGGGAGGATCGAGGATGGAGGTTTGAGGCTTCGCGGCGTGGTTCATCCTTTTCGGAGATTTCTCGGGCCCTACGTGAGTTCCGGTGAGGACATACCCCTTGGCAGGTTTGGAGGGCACTTTGCGAGGGAGGAGGGGGAGGAGGAGGGGGAGGAGGAGGAGGCGGAGGAGGAGGAGGAGGAGGGGAGGAGGAGGAGGAGGCGGAGGAGAGGGAGGAGGAGGAGGAGGACGAGGAGGAGGCGGAGGATGAGGATGAGGAGGGGGAGGGGGAGGGGAGGGGAAGGGGAGGATGAGAGGAGGAGGAGGAGGAGGAGGAGAGGAGAGGAGGAAGAGGAGGAGGGAGGGAGGAGAGGAGAGGAGAGGAGGAGGAGAGAGGGAGAGGGGAGGAGGAGGAGGAGGAGGAGGAGGAGGAGGAGGAGGAGGAGGAGGAGTAGGAGGAGGAGGAGGAGGAGGAGGTGGAGGTGGAGGAGGAGGAGGAGGAGGAGGAGGAGGAGGAGGAGGAGTGGGAGGAGCGTCATGAGGACGGGGGAGCGGTAAATGTCGCCCAGTGTTGCCCTCGACCCTGGTGGGTCGAGGACGTGGAGGGAGGAGGAGGGAGTCCTCACCTGTCTTACCTGAGTAGTCGGACGGGTCTGCCGGGATTTCGCCTGGTGCCCTGCTGTTGGCCGCCCGTGGTGCCGCCCCGTTCTCCATGGCTGGACCTAAAAGGTGTGTGTTTCTGCGATGTCGTGGGCCGTTTTCGTTTCGATTCCGTTTTGCGGCAAAGGCGGATTGGAGACACACGCGAGGGACAACGAACACAAACCGAAAACGAAAACACCGTTGAGCTTCGGCCCTGCCGTTCTCCGGGCGGGGTCTGGCGGGGTTTCGCTTGGAGTGCCCGCCCAGGGCCGCCGCGCGGCCGCCCCGCGCGCTGGACTGGGGTTTGCCGGGGGCTCGCCCGGTGCCCGCCCGTGGCCGCCCCGCGGGCACGTCGCACGGCCTGCAGCGCAGGCGGGCACCGCACAGACGCGGGAGGGGAAAAAACACACACAGACAGAATCAATCGTCGATCCCCCGGAAGAGATGGGAAAGTATGAAAAGTGGGGGGAGGAGGCAAGAGTCCAACAAAATATGGGACGGTATGGGGGGTTCTGTTATTTGTGTGTATTCTCTGGCACAGGGCGTCTAGAGCTCCGAACACTTTCTTCCGCGTCGCACACCCCCCCCCCGTCCCCAGCGCCAGAGTGGGAACCCCACGCCGTGGCTCTCGGCCCCAAGCCCCCCCGCGCCCCCAGCGCCCCAGCGGGGGCCTCGCCCACTGCCCCCTCCGCCACGAACGCTTTATGCCGCGTCGCACCCCTCCCCCCCCTGCGTCGCCAGCGCCAGAGTTGGACCGCTGCGCCATGGCTCTCTGCCCCGAGCCCCCCCGCGTCCCCAGCGCCCCAGCGGGAGCTCCGCCCACTGCCCCCTCTGCCACGAACGCTTCCGCGTCGCGACGCACGCCACCTCCCTCCCTGCGTCCCCAGCGCCCCAGTGGGGGCTCCGCCCCGTGCCTCCTCCGCCCCGACAATTCAATTCCGCGTCGCGACGCACACCACCTCCCCCCCTCCCCACCCCCGTCCCCAGCGCCCCAGTTGGACCCCCGCCCCGTGGCCCTCTGCCCCAAGCCCCGCCCAGTGCCCCCTCCGCCCCGACCACTTTATTCCGCGTCGCGACGCACACCACCTCCGCCCCCCTCCTCTCCGCGCCCCCAGCGCCCCGGTGGGACCTCCGCCCCGTGCCCCCTCCGCTCCGAGCACTGTTTTCCGCGTCGCGACGCACGCCAACTCCCCCCCCCTCCCCACCTGGGATCTGGGCCCCGTTGCTGGGCCCCGAGGGGCGATGTCTTGCCCCCTCTTCCCCCCTCCTCCTCCACCTCATCCTCCTCCCCGTTCCTTTTTGTGCAAGAGCCATGGCACACGTGCCACTTGTTTACTTGTGTTTCCCTGGGCTCCTTGATGCACCACATAGCTTGCACCAAATAGCTCGCACCACGCTGCTGGCTCCACTCAGCTTGCACCACATAGCCTGGCCCACATGGCTTCTGCCACACAGCTTGCAACACATGCACTGCACCATGCGCGGAATGCGGGACAGAGCTGGCAGCGCATGTATGCCACACCGAGGGTGCAAGAGCCTACCTGTTTGGGGCCCATGCCAGCTAACATGTGTGATACAAGGCCAGGGCAGCAGTGTGAAGAGCCACTTGTTCCCAACAGTGTTTGCACTAAGGGGTTCGCACTTCCATCGCAAAGACTTGGCTTGGAGTTCTGGTTCCCTGGCTTGTGGGCGCCCGTGGGCGCCTCGAGGGCGCCTCGCGTTGGCTGGCAGTTCCAGGTTTTACGACCGGCGGTCGCCCGTGGTAGCCTCGTGGCCGTTTCGTGTTGGCGGGAAGTTCCAGGTTTTTCGCCCAGCCAGATTTCGTGTGGAACGTCGTTCGCGGTCGCTTCGTGGGTTCCTTGTGCGCTGGCTGGGATTCCAGTCTTTCCTCCTCGCGCGCGTTCGTGGGTTCTCTGGGCGATGGCTGGTGCTTCGATTGCACCGCGCAGCTTGCATCACACAGCTTGCATCACATGGCCTGCACTTCGTAGCGTTGCATCGCGCATTTTGCGTGACACAGCTTGCGCAACACGGTTTGCACCAAATGGCGCACGCCACATGTATTGCACCGCGCACATTGCGTTGCTCACGATTTCTTCTTTCTTGTGGTTTGCTACCAGAAAGCGAAACACCACATGTTATATTACACTGAAACAGCACGTACTATACTGTACTGAGAGTCCAGTTTTAGCGGCCCCTCGAAGGTGTAGGTTCATAGTCATTGGTGCACGACCGCTCACCCTAAACATGACATATTAGCATGCCAGCAAGGCCCGTATCGACCCCCCCACTCCAGGCTTTCTCTCGCAAACGTGTCATGCGGTGCGCGTGAATTCACCCAAGATGGCTGTTTCTAAACACCCCGCGACATGTGCATTACGGGGCACCTGTGCGCGCCGCCTCGCGCACGTCAAACTTTTCGAGCTGAAGCGTATCGAAGACGCCTGCGGCAGATCACCGCCACCCCTACATCTTGGAAGCGCCAATCTGGCCGAACGCTGCGACCAGAGCTCGGCCAAGCTATCAGACTAT